CTCAGTAGGACGGGGCTGAAAGTCTCATACGGAACGATTTTGAGAGATATGCTTTACTCTCATACTGGACCGGGTATCGAAGCGATGTTGTTTTTTGATACCCATTGCCAGACAGGATATGGGAACGGCAAAGTTAATGTCAAATCTTGATATTGGATCCACGAGTAGAGGGATATTCCTATAAACCCCTAGGAGTCCCAATAACTAAGTTAAAAAGAAGAATTACTAATCTTATGAGCGAAATTAAAATATCACTTGGTTATTTTTTTTTATAGGTTGTTTTCGAAAAAAATTTTTAATGGTAAATATGAAATAAAATGTTTTAAAGTTAAATGTATTTACTTAAATCAAGGGTTTTATTAGTTATTTTGTGATTTTTACCAACCTTTGATTTTCCGTATCAGTGATTAGTGTGATATTCTTAATAGGTTAGTGTAGCTCACCCTTTCATTAATCATTTCAGATCAAGAAAATCAAAATCCAGACTCTGATCATCAAAATGGTTGTGAGTAGTTTACCTCTCAGATTCCCTCCAAGTGCTAATGGAGGTTAATCCCTAATATATCTAATTATTTATTTTTAATTATCGTTTGTTTTTTTTTTTTAATAAAACAATGTAGAAAGGGCATTCTCGTAAACTTATTGGGCATTTCAATTTACTGTATAAGGAATATAAATCCTAATTTTATTATTTGTTTCTACATTAAAAATATAATTTATTTCTTTTAAGGTTTCCTGCTTTTAAAATAAAAGCATATTTAAAATTTTATTTTTCTACATACTTAAAGTTTGAAAAGAAAGATTTATTTTAGATAAAATTCTCTGAGTTAAACTCTTCCAAAAATAAATCTTTTATGCTAAATCTAGAAAATATTTCTTTAAGCTTCATCTTATAAATCTTATCTTTGTGAGAAGAAAGTTCAAAATTTTTCATTCTATATTCTTAGGAATTTGTAAGAAGAGGTGTAGAACACCCTTTGGGAATTGATGTTTGAGAGAAATACTTAAAGAGGTAAAGTTTGATGACAAAATAAACTAGTATTTGTAATTGATGGAACTAAACACATTGAACTAGTATTTGTAATAGATAAAATCGGACACATGAAAGAAAATATTTGAGAAGATAGTGAAAATACTCGAGTGGTTCGTTTGATTAGAGGATGTAGGTACGCGTGGTCGAATCCCCTATAAAAATTGAGTTTGCAATTTGTCTATCCTTATCTTTAAAAAATTTACGCATTACATTTTAATTTAAAAGTTGTGAAATAATTTTTGCTTGTTATTTAATATATTCTTATATGTTTACTTTAATAATTTCTTAGATACATTTGGTGTTCTAATTGCTTGTTCTTTTAAATTCATTATCATAATATTAGTTAGATTAATAAATACACCAATTCTTGCATATTTATTAGTGGACTAAATTTACAATTTTGGAAATCATTCTCTAAATTAAAAAAAAAAAAAAACAAAAACAATACCTATGAATCATTTCTTCATCTATTGTCTTAATCATTTAATAATACTCAAAATTGAAATTAGTCAAAAAGTTTTTAAGAACACAATTTACTCCATCCTTAGCATCTTCAATAATCTCAACTGCTAGCATGCTCCATGGCTCCCTCATTCGTCAAAAGGTGCAAAACTTTACTATAGTGTTGGTTCTATCAGAGTCGAGTGTCATAACCGTGATGAGGGACAAATTCCGCAAAAATAATAAATTTAAAATTTTAGAAATCGCTATCAGTTTTATTGGAAACAGAATTAAATACTAGAAACAACATATAATTAGCCAAAATCATAGATTCAAAGTTCAAAGTGGTACAAGTTAAGAAGGTGTAAGACATCTACTACGTGATAGAGACTAACTAAATGTGTTTTGCATGCGTAGCTATTGACTTAATTGTTGTGCTACCGTGTGATTGTGATATTCATTCATCAATAATTATAAGATCTATGAATGCAATGCGGTGGGGGGACATTAAGATACAAGATCAAAGGATACAACACTCTAATCCCTCATCTTATCACAATCTTCTTCAAGAACTCCCAAATACTTCTTCGGTCGAAATCAGATCTCATGGTGCTTTCAATAGAGACAACCTTTTGTTCATTTCCTTTCCCTTTCAACTTTAGAGCATACAGCTAACATCATGCATTTATAATAAAGTTTCAATCTCAAAACGCTTTCACAGAACTAAGAAAGGAAGACAAAAAGTAATTGTAAAAAGATAATCAAACAGGCTTAACAAAGAGGTATGTTATTTAAATGGTGAAAGAAATTTATTCTCTATTTATAACTAGAATTTACCAATAAAACCCAAAGGAAACTTAACAACTAGACATTTTTAATTCTACTGATCAGAGGGTATAATTCTAACAATAAGAAACAAAAACATGTGATGTATTTTCCATGTATGCTTATTGACTAAAACATGTGAAACTAAATGAAACAACCAAGAGCAAAGAGAAATGATGTATTTTTCTAAACTGGACATCAAATTAGTCAATCCAATTGCTCTAACAACCTGGCAACTACATCGTCAACATCTATCATTACGCAGGAAGTGAAAACCTTAAGCAATGGGTCAAAAGGAATCCAGCTAATTGAACCTCTTCATAGGTGAACACAGCACATATCCAAGAAGCACAGCAGGTATTATTTGGGTTTGAAAGCATAAAAAAAGGAGACTACTTTATTGATGATATGAGGAGCCCATGTGAACATTCTGTCTAGCTTATGTAAAAAAGAATTAATAATCAAATAAACAAGACCACACCAGAATCAAAAGCTTCATGCCATAAGGTTCTTTCATTCAATCTCAACAACACAAGCATTTTGGACAAGAGAATTTAAAACAAAAAGTCAAAAGGATTAACATCGGCATACCAATATCCTGGTAATCGTATTCTGTCACCCTTCTGTCTTCTCAATAATCAAAGTTTTCCCCTCTTTCCAAACCTTTTTGTTTTTTTTTTCTTCTTCTCAAAGCATTTGGCCCCTCTTGAAGCCTTCTACCGGAATCCTGAAGCTCCAAATCTCCTCTACTCTTATCTCTTCATTTCTCTCAGAATGCTGTCTCTCTTCCTAAAACCTGAAAATTCTCCATGTCTTCCTCCTACAAGAAACCGCAAAACACAAATTTGTTTCCCCTCTCTCCCTCATTTTAACGATTACTCTCTCTTGAAAGTCCCTCATCCCTTCACCAATTCACTCTGCTTCCTCGCCATCCTTGATCCTGAAGCTCCTTCACACTTTTGGGTCAACAAGCCACTGCCTTCGCCCTTTCTTTCTCTGGCACCTTACTAACCTCTGTTTTTGCGTTGCAGGTGGCACGCAACGCAAAAACTAGAAATGAAAGCCTTCACTTCTTCCTTTTGCCCTTTTGCCTTTTGTTAGACTCTTCGATCGATGCCTCTTCCAATACTATCTTGCCACCTAGGTCCCCTTTTCTTGTAAGCCTTGGTCAACGCCATTCAGAGTCGCTTGGAAGCTCCCACTTTCCTTTTTTCCGTCTCATCTCGCAGCATCAAATTGCAATCTCAACATCTTCGTCGCCACATTCGACTTGTCACCATCACACTTCTGGTATGGGTGCAGCCAGAGCTTGGGTCTCCCTATGGCACTTTTACTCTTGTTATTGGTCGCTGTAGGAGGACGACATAGAGCTTCCCAAAACGACGCTGTTTTAAGAAGGAGAGTAATTAGCTGGTCTGGATCCATTTAACTTTCAGTGTGGGCTATGTATGTGTATTTGGGACGAGCTTTCAGCTGCTTAGCTTAGGGGTTGGTCCAGGCCTGATTGTTTTTTTTGTTTTTTTAAATTTTTTCTTTTTGGCTTACAATGCAAGAAAAATAATAGACACTAATAATAATAATAATAATATTACTTCAATTTCTCACTAATTGTTTCACCGGTTGTTTTTCACTTTTTTTTTTTTTTTAAATACTTTATATATTATATTTTAGTCAAAAAATAAATATTGTTAGAATATAATGACAATTGTTATCAATATAAATATACTAATATTTCAAAATAAAAGAAATTATAATAAATTTAGTATTGAAGTTAACATATACAAAATCAAATTTGTTTTTGATGAAAAATAACCACGCTCGTGTTTGTCGGTTCATTATAATAATTAAAAATAAAAAAAAATAACTTTAAAAATTATTTAATTTTAAAATTAAAAAACAATAATAATGTTATTAAAGTAAAGGGAAGTGCCACGTGGACGTAGGTTTGACCCAATTGAGTTTGACTGTTTTTTGTTTTTTAAAATAAAACATTTCATTCATTGCCTCTGTTTTCTTCTTTGCAACCTTTAAATGCTTCCTTTCCTCTTTCTCTGTTTCTCTGTCACTACCAATTTCTCTCTTTTATCTCCTTCTCTTTCAGTCTTCACACACACTTTAAACTTCTTCCTCCCGCTCCTTTCTCACTTTACTCAACTACCCTTTCTTCACGATTCCTTCTTCTTATGGGTTTTTTTGCCTCTTGATTCTTTTACAGTTTCATCGGATTCTTAACTTCCTCTTTTCCGGTTTCGCCATTTCTAAAGCTCCACTGTCTGTTACCGAAAAGCAAGATTCCTCTTTTTTCCCTTATAAAATAAACCAGTCAGTAGTTTATTGTTTTACAATTCTGATTCAAATGGGAGGTTACCTTCTCCTATAGCCCTCCCGTAAATATACAATTTAAGCCAGAAAAGAAATGGTATACAATAATCCATTCCTTCTTCTTCTTACCCTCACAGTTGTTGTACGAGCTGTAGACCAAACATTCAATGACGACGTTCTCGGATTAATCGTCTTCAAGGCCGGTCTTCAAGACCCCATGTCCAAGCTCACATCATGGAACGAGGAAGACGACGATGCCTGCAGCTGGCTTGGGGTCAAATGCGACCCTTTGTCCAACCGGGTATCCGAACTCGTACTCGACGGGCTTTCTCTTTCTGGGCATATCGGCCGGGGCCTCCTGCGCTTGCAGTTCCTTAAAATTCTCTCTCTGGCGAACAACAACCTGACAGGGGCGATAAACCCTCATCTTCCTCGTCTTGGGGGTTTGCAAGTAATTGACTTCAGTGGAAACCGTCTCTCTGGGTCTGTCCCAGATGAGTTTTTTAAGCAATGTGGGTCGTTAAGATCAGTTTCCTTTGCCAGGAACAACCTCACTGGACAGATTCCGGATGCTTTAAGCTCCTGCTTAAATCTTGCAATGGTTAACTTCTCTTCTAATCAGCTTTCTGGAAAACTGCCTTCAGGAATATGGTTTTTAAGGGGATTGCAGTCGCTTGATTTGTCAGATAATTTGTTGGAGGGAGAGATTCCAGGTGGAGTTGGTAGTTTGTATGATTTGAGAGCCCTAAATATGGCTAACAACAGGTTCTCCGGTAAGCTTCCTGGGGATATTGGCGGTTGTTCGCTTTTGAAATCACTTGACTTTAGTCAGAATGATTTGTCTGGGAGCCTTCCAGATTCAATGCAGAAACTTGCTTCATGCTCTTCCGTCAGATTACAAGGAAATACGTTCGCTGGAGAAATTCCTGATTGGATTGGAGAAATGACTAGTCTTGAGAGTCTGGATCTTTCAGCTAATAATTTCACTGGTAAGGTACCATCTTCCATAGGGAAACTTCAGTTTCTCGACAACTTAAATCTATCAATTAACAAGCTTACAGGTGGATTGCCAGAATCAATGGCAAACTGCGCTAACCTTTTGGCTATAGATGTGAGCCGGAACCTGTTGACGGGCAATGTTCCTTCATGGATGTTTAACATGGGATTACAAAGTGTGCCACTTTCTGTGGAAAAACTCAATGGAGGCCTGCAACATCTTCCACTTGGGTCACTGGTGGCCTTCTATCAAGGCCTTCAGGTTTTGGATTTGTCTTCAAATTTCTTCTCTGGTGAAATCCCATCTAATGTTGGGGTCCTTAGTAGCTTCCTGTCCATGAATATGTCCAGGAACCTTCTGGTTGGTTCCATTCCAAAAAGCATAGGAGACTTGAAAACCATACGTTTTATTGATTTGAGTCACAATTTGCTAAATGGAAGCATACCCTCTCAAATTGGAGGAGCAGTATCACTCAAGGAATTGAGATTGCAGAACAACTTTCTCTCTGGAAAGATTCCAAGTCAAATTGAAAAATGCTCATCTCTAACAACTTTGTAAGTTTCCCATCCCTCCTTTTGTATTTTGATTGTTGTTTGTTCTGGGTTGTTTATACTGGATTCTGAACGTTTTAAGTGTTGTTAAATTGTTTTAGTTTTGTGCTATTAGTGGTTGAAAAGTCATAGATAGAGATGCTTCACTTGGGAGAAATATTTTCCTCAGACTTGACCTCTTAATAATGAGAATATCTGAATTGTACAGATATCTATCTCAGAACAAACTCTCTGGTTCTGTTCCTGCAGCCATTGCGGATCTGACTGACCTTCAGTTTGTAGACTTATCTCTGAATGAACTCTCTGGAAGTCTACCTAAAGATCTTGCAAATCTTTCTCACTTGGTATCCTTTAACATTTCTCATAATCATATTCAAGGTGAATTGCCAGTTGGGGGTTTCTTCAATACAATTCCTGCCTCTTCAGTGTCTGGTAATCCGTCCTTATGTGGCTCCATTGTCAACCGCTCATGCCCTTCTGTCCATCCCAAACCCATTGTCCTCAATCCCAATTCT